CATCAGTGAGCAGCACATGGTCACTTACCATATTGGTCACTGTGAGAAGTGTCAGAACTTGCCACGGTCAATGCAGGGGAGCCAAGTGCATCAAATAGCCTCCTGTTCCACTGCTAATTGTCCATACTGGTCACTGTACACCCTTGTTAATGATTTTATGCTTCAATCCAATCCCAGTCACAAACGCAAATGTGAAAAAACAAACACTGACTGACGTACAACTGCAATTCACATCGCAATAACTGTCTTCCTTAGGCACCAAGATGAAAACACTTTAGCCAAAATGATTTGAAATTAAAACCAGTTATTTTACTTCCTGATCCATGGGTAGAGGTTTAAGTACACAGCAAATTCCTCTGTTTGAAGGGATGCTTTCCAGATAACAGGTACAACTAATTTGTTTTGTGTTTGTTCTTACCTCCTGCTGAAGAGTCAAACATACTGCCTGTTAATTGAGTCTTCATAATATTGTGAGACTCATTTTCAGAGGGATTCCAAACAGCAGTGACAAAGTTCAGTCACAACCAAATGGGTCAGTACCCAGAGAAGTGACATTTCTAATAATCTCAATTTTCTTAAAGAATGCCCTCCAATTTTTTTTGTGTCACTAAGAATGGAAGCATACAAAAATAAATTTCGCCCTGGCTGGTGTAGCTCAGTGGATTGAGTGCGGGCCTGTGAACCAGAGAATCGCGGTTCGATTCCCAGTCAGGGCACATGCCTGGGTTGCAGGCTAGTTCTCAGCAGATGCAAGAAAGGCAACCATACTTGCTCTCTCCACATTTCTATGAGTTCGCTTGTGAGCTCCGGCTCCCCTCCCTGGGAGGGAACACCAGTCCGAGCTTCTCAGAAAGCATGAAGGGAGAACCAAGAACTAGCTAAGGCTTCCAGACCGCCTTTGAACGAAGATGGATGTCTCTGCCAGTACTATGTAACCGGAGAAGCCAGGTCTGGGCAGTCAACCATGGGAGCCAATACTTCCAGCAAACCTCCAATTTTTTATGAAAATGAGGATGAATGTCATTTGGGGACTTCCGCCAAGATGGAAGCGTAGGTGGAAGCACTGTGCCTCTTCCCACAACCAAGTTTAAAAACAACAAAGTTTTAGCAACACAAACACAGCCAAAACCACAGAAAATTGAACTTCACGGAAGTCTGACAACAACGAACCCTTCAGCCAAACTGGTAAGAGGGGCAGAGCCAGCAGCAGAGCGGGGTTGGGCAGGAAAGATCCACCAGACTGACCTGGGCACGGAACCTAGACGTGCAACCCAGACACACAATCCAGACTCAACCCAGGTACACCAGCAGCCATAGACGGATCCCAGGTGTGGAGAAGCAGCGGACCCACTGAGGGCACAAGGTGGTGGACCCACTGAGGGCTGACCACGGTCACACATTTGTGCGCAGATAAACCAGTGAAGGAGGGAGTGGTAAGACAGACTGTGCAGGCCCCAGCGGCAGGAAGCGGCAGAGGGGACCACCATTGTCCATTTCTGGCCCCACCCCCACCTACAGTGTCACAAACAAGTGACCTGGGTGGCCCCGCCCTGGTGAACACCTAAGGCTCTGCTCCTTATACCTAACAGGCATGAACAAAGCAAAACATGGCTCAAGAAGAATTTAGAGCCCCAGAGCCGATAAATCTAAGAGATGAAGAAATAGCCAAACTTTCAGATGCACAGTTCAAAACACTGGTGATCAGGATGCTCACAGAACTGGTTGATTTTAGTCACAAATTAGAGGAACATATGAAGGCTAAACTCATTGAAATGAATGGAAATGCACAGGAAACCAATAGTAATGGAAAGGAAGCTGGGACTCAAATCAAAGGAGTGGACCAGAGAGAGGATAAAAATGATCAAACAGAAAAGAATGTAGGAACAAGAATTCAAAAAAATTAGGAGAGGCTTAGGAACCTCCAGGACATCTTTAAACATCCCAACAACCAAATTATAGGGGTGCCAGAAGGGGAAGAGGAACAGCCACAAGTGGAAAATTTATTTGAACAAATAATTAAGGAGAACTTCCCCAATCTGGCAAAGGAAATAGACTTCCAGAAAATCCAGGAAGCTCAGAGAGTCCCAAAGAAGTTGGACCCAAGAAGGAACACACCAAGGCACATCATAATTACATTAGCCAAGATTAAAATGAAGGAGAGAATTCTAGAAGCAGCAAGAGATAAGGGGACAGTCACCTACAAAGGAGTTCCCATCAGACTGTCAGCGGATTTCTCAAAAGAGACATTACAAGCAAGAAGAGACCGGAAAGAAGTATTCCAAGTCATGAAAACTAAAGACCTACAACCAAGATTGCTCTATCCAGCAAAGCTTTCATTTAGAATGGAAGGGCAGATAAAGTGCTTCTCAGATAAGATCAAATTCAAGGAGTTCATCATCACCAAACCCTTATTATATGAAATGTTAAAGGGACTTACCTAAGAAAAAGAAGATAAAAAAGATGAACAGTGAAAGGACAGCAAACTCACAGTTATTAAGAACCACACCTAAAACAAAAACAAACTAAGGGGACAGCTAGATCAGGAGCAGAACCATAGAAATGAAGATCTCAAGGAGGGTTAGCAATAGGGGAGTGGTGGAGGAGAGAGGGGGAAAGGTACAGAGAATAAATAGCATAGGTGGTGGGTAGAAAATAGACAGGGGGAGGGCAAGAATAGTATGGGAAATATAGAAGCTAAAGAACTTATAGACACATGGACATTAATAAAGGAGGGAAATGTGGGTGGGAGAGGTTGTGTGGGGTGGAGGGGAGTGAAGGGGGAAACTGGGACAATTGTAATAGCATTATCAATAAAATATATTAAATAAATAATTGAATGAATGAATAAAAAAGAAATTGAAAACTTATTTGAACAAATAATGAAGGAAAACTTCCCTAATCTGGCAAAGGAAATAGACTTCCACGAAGTCCAAGAAGCTCAGAGAGTCTCAAAGAAATTGGACCCAAAAAGGAACACACCAATGCACATCATCATTAAGTTACCCAAGATTAAAGACAAAGAGAAAATCCTAAAAGCAGCAAGAGGTAAGGAGACAGTTACCTACAAAGGAGTTCCCATAAGGCTATCAGCTGATTTTTCAAAAGAAACTTTACAGGCAAGAAGGGGCTGGAAAGAACTATTTGAAGTCATGAAAGGCAAGGACCTACATCCAAGATGACTCTATCTAGCAAAGCTTTCATTTAGAATGGAAGGGCAGATAAAGTGCTTTCCAGGCAAGGTCAAGTTAAAGGAGTTCATCTACAACAAGCCCTTATTATACGAAACATTAAAGGGATTTATCTAAGAAAAAGAAGATAAAAATATGAATATTAAAATGACAACAGACTCACAACTATTAACAAATGAACCTAAAAGAAAAGAAAAACAATGAAGACAAAAACTAAGCAAACAACCTGAACAGGAAGAGAATCAGAGAAATGGACATCACTCAGAGGGAGTTCAGTGGGGAGGGGAAAGGGCGAAATAGGGGGAAAAAGGTACAGGGTAGAAGAAGCATAATTAGTAGGAGTGACATAGATGGGAAGAGATAAAAAACGATATAGGAAACAGAGGAGTCAAAGAACTTATATGTACAATCCATGGACACTAACTAAAGTGGGGGAATATTGGAGGGTTGGGGAGCAGGGTGGAGGGGGGGATAAAGGGGGAAAATTAGGAAAACTGTAATAGCATAATCAATAAAAAATACTTAAAAAGTTATTTCATTTTAATTTGTACTTTTTAATTTTAAAATAATGGGATGAAGAAACTTAATATAGCTGTGTTTTTATTTGCTCTGCCAATTTCTTTTGAAAAATACTTTAAAATTTGGACATTTTAAATTAGGTTTAGAGTATATAGAAATTTCTCACTAAAATATATTTGAGTCTTTTCATTTTAAAAGGTTAACTTTTATTAAATTTTATTCTGAAACTAAGTCTTCAAAACTAGAATGCTTTTGAAGAAAGATGCTTCTGACCTCAGTATTTCAGTATATACTGAGATTCCTAATGAGAGCCCATAAAAAATATGAAATTAGCTACTGTGGACTTGGCTGTAGTACTGAATTATCTGCTGCTATTTCTTCAGTCATAGGTAATTTATTAATAATTTTTCATTACTTTCTTTCCTTTATTGGTAAGGATGCCTGTGAAGTTTGAGTTTATTAGAATGGCTGGTTTAAAAAGAAAGAACTCTAGAGGGAAGCTGACTGAGTTTTATAGACTGTTATTAACACATAGTGCCTTTTATAACATGTGACGGATAGGCGACAAGGTCTGTGTGAGGTGACTGATTTCCATTTACACATTTGGGAAGCACATCTTTGTGTAGTGTGTTGTCATTACTAACTGAAGTGCAGTCTTGTCAAATCTAACCAGTTAATATTTTTATTTATTACATAACTCTGCTCTTTCTACTCAGTGTTCATCTTTGAGACTAGTGTTTGAGACCAGAGCAGTTGTGGGGTTATGGGTTTTTTTCAGTGAACAGTTTTGGAAGTCAGAGGTACTACTGACTAAGGTTTGACATTTTATGTTTGAAACTCTGTTTCTCAAAAATTTGGGTGTCCTCTCCCTGGGTAAAGTTGTGTGACTGAGTCAGACAGCTGTTCTGTGTGTTCGCCAGCTCCATTCACGGCCAGGGGACCCCTTCATGAGCCCAGATGGAGAATTTAAAAGACGTTTGAATTTTAGAGCTTATATTAAGTTTGTGGTGGAATAAAAACAAAATGTGGGCCTAAATTACTTTAGAAAAAAATTAAACTATAGTTAACTTTAGCTATAATTGGTGAGTGATCTAGAAGTCATTATCTGTACGTGCATAATAAACAGAGACATTAAAAAAGAGATTAATTCTTCCTCCTCTGAGGTTCAGGTTACCAGCTGGGGGTGGTTTGCTCCCTAGAGGACATTTGGAAATGTGTGGAGGAGGGTTTTGATTGTCATTTCATGAGTGCAGGCCAGAAATACCAACAAACACTCAACGCACACAAGACCATCTGGCTTCATGAAGAACCGCCACGCCACAATGCCGACAGCGACACTGCAGGGAACTGATGGTGACCCCACTCTTCTTTTTTATGATTTTGTTTATTTACCTTTAGAGAGAGGGGGTAGGAGGTGGGGAGAGGGGGAGAGAAATATCATGTGCGAGGGAAACGTAGATTGATTGCCTCTTGCACATCCCCAGCCCCGGGACCTGGCCAGAAACCCAGGAATGTGCCCTGACCATGACCTGAACCTGCGACCATTTGGTTTGTAGGACGACACCCAACCCATGACATATGGCGAGATATGAGGAAACTAGAATGGGTCTTCTGCTCTTTCTTCTCCTTCTTTGGAAGTGCAGCTCCAGGACAACAAAGTGAACTAATAGGGAAACAAAACTTCTGTCTTCCAAAAAGCATAGTTAACACCCACGGTAAGGAATTTGTAATTTAAATTCTCAGTGCTGGTGCCAAGGGGTTTGGTGGTTTCGTGTAAGGTGGTAATGTGCTGGAAACCATTTAAATCTTGTTAAAAAACAAAACGGTGCTATTATCTCAGAAAACAAGATTTCCTGTAATTTCTCATGCTCAATGTTAGGACAATTGTGGAGGTTGAATAGCACTGGACCTGAAAAATAGGATTTAATATTAAAGTGAAGCCTGTTAAGAGCCTAGACATGATTGAGTTTACAAAAATAGTTTTGAAAACTCAACCTGTGAGTTTTCAAAACTATTTTTGTAACCTTTTATAGTGTTTTAGCTGTGTATTTCTCTGTTCTGAATTTCTGGGCTATTGCTGAAAAAAACAAAGTGGATTATAAAAATTTTATTTCACTTGGGACTGAGTTTAGGCTGTTATGTTACAATTAGTTGAACCATAGTTTTATGTTAGAAAACAGACATTATCCTAAATAACCCTCATAACAACTGTGTAGGTTCAGTGGTGTGATCACCAAACCACAGCATCAGGGCACCTAAATGACTGGGCCCTGAGGTCTATCATTTGGAAAGGGGCAGATCTGCTTTCCAGTCTGAAGCTTTTCCTGTGATATTATATAACCTTCCCAATTTTATTTAAATGTGATTGCCTCATAATTTAGATGATCAAAGCATTCAATAAAACCATGAAACTACTACAGTGCAGGCACCTAAACTCAAAAAGAAAATTACCTTTGTGGTCTTCCATACACGTAAGCCTAAGGAAACACTTTTTATTCAAACAGACGGCTTCACCTTACCTATTGAAGGGCTGAGCTGGTGCAATCGCACAAAAGGTCAGATAGGCATATTCTGTGGTGTCAAGACAAGGTGTTTTGAACTGTTGTCCTGAAGGGTAGGGTTGTGACAGTACCATGTCGAAGGCATCTTGTTTCCCTTGGTAACTTGACATCTGGGATTCCTCACCCACCCAGCCTGTTGTGTAATTGCTGTTCCCCACGGATTTCCTCCAAATTCACTGGAGAGAGGAGCAGGGAGACAGCACTTTTATTCGAGCACAGTTCCATTGGACCATCTAGTCCTGGTGAAATAATGAATTCATCCCAGGTTTATGGCTGATTCGCTGCTGCTCTATTTGTTTTCCTGGCTCCTCTGACATGTATCTGCCAAGTGTCCTTTGGGGTAACAATACCTGTTGATTCCTAAATGTCAGCAACAGGAGAAATCATAAAAACCAAAGCCTTTGTTTATTGCAATAGTACCTGAGGCAAGTCCACCTTCAAGCTGAACGTACTCTCCCCCTCTCATTCTTATAAATGGTATTTTTTATATCTGAGATTTAAACAGATCAGAATGCATAATTTATAGTAGAATATAAAAAAGATTTGTGTATATTCAAGTTTCTGAAGGTGGGGAAGTGAATAAGGAAAATATTTAATTAAATGCATATAGTTAAGAGGTTAAGTTTATTTCCATTTAAAGGACCACATGAATTTCTATTGAACAAAGCAATTGCTCATATGGGGTAAGTTTCTCAATCTCTCATTATAATAGGAGAGAAATAAAATGTTGTAAACCCAAGAAAGATGAGGCAAATAGAAATCTCAGGAGACATACTATATATTTCAACAATGTTTGGAAAACAGAAAGCCAGAGAAAGAATGCTACTTGACCTAGAGCAGGGCAAGCGATAGGCTAAGAGGCACAGTGGTGAATGCCAAAGTGAAGACAGTCTATTTTCCTCTGCAGGACCTTGTGCAGCCAAAGGACTTGGAGGCAATAGGTTACCTCTCTCAGGATAAGCAACCACCTCCCCACCTTTTCCCAGCAAGAGATCTGGGCTTGGAAAAACAGATCCTACACATGGACTAAGGAAGGTCAGGAGTGACTAATATATGGGCACACATAAAAGTAAACGATTTCCTCCTCTTCATTTCTCTGAAATACATATGATGGTTAAATTACTTTCCCAAACCTTTTTCATTATCGCCCCCTGGGAGCCTTGTTAGACTTTTCCCCCCGATGACTCACTTCCCCCCACCAATTAATTACTACTGAGTACATTTTCATGTTATTTAGATCTATAAATTATAATTTATAAAATTAATAGCAAATTAGCAACATAGGACATACACAGTAAGAAGAGCAAATGACAATATTTTTTTTAATTTTATTGATTATGCCATTACAATTGTTCTATTCCCCTCCTTCATTCCCCTCCACCCTGCACACCCCTCCCTCACTACTCCCCCCTTTAGTTTATGACCATGTGTCTCAAGTTCTTTAGATTCTATATTTCCTCTACTATTCTTGCCCTCCCCCTATCTATTTTCTACCTACTGTCTATGCTACTTATTTTCTGTATCTTCTCCCCCCTTCTCCTTCTCCCACTTCCCTGTTGCTAACCCTCCATGTGATCTTCATTTCTATGGTTCCACTCCTGATCTAGCTGTCCTCTTAGTTTGCTTTTGTTTTAGGTGTGGTTGTTAATAACTGTGAGTTTGCTGTCCTTTCACTGTTCATCTTTTTTATCTTCTTTTTCTTAGGTAAGTCCCTTTAACATTTCATATAATAAGGGCTTGGTGATGATGAACTCCTTGAATTTGATCTTATCTGAGAAGCATTTTATCTGCCCTTCCATTCTAAATGAAAGCTTTGCTGGATAGAGCAATCTTCGTTGTAGGTCTTTGGTTTTCATGACTTGGAATACCTCTTTCCAGCCCCTTCTTGCCTGTAAGGTCTCTTTTGAGAAATCCGCTGACAGTCTGATGGGAACTCCTTTGTAGGTGACTGTCCCCTTATCTCTTGCTGCTTCTAGGATTCTCTCCTTCATTTTAATCTTGGGTAATATAATTATGATGTGCCTTGGTGTGTTCCTTCTTGGGTCCAACTTCTTTGGGACTCTCTGAGCTTTCTAGACTTTCTGGAAGTGTATTTTCTTTGCCAGATTGGGGAAGTTCTCCTTAATTATTTGTTCAAATAAATTTTCCACTTGTGGCTGTTCCTCTTCCCCTTCTGGTATCCCTATAATTTGGTTGTTGGAACATTTAAAGATGTCCTGGAGGTTCCTAAGCTTCTCCTCATTTTTCTGAATTCTTATTTCTTCATCCTTTTCCGTTTGGTCATTTTTTTCTTCCTTCTGGTCCACTCCCTTGATTTGAGTCCCAGTTTCCTTTCCATTACTATTGGTTTCCTGTGCATTTCCCTTCATTTCAATTAGTTTAGCCTTTATATGTTCCTCTAATTTGTGACTAAAATCAACCAGTTCTGTGAGCATCCTGATCACCAGTGTTTTGAACTGTGCATCTGAGAGTTTGGCTATTTCTTCATCGCTTAGAGTTATTGGCTCTGAGTTTTTGAGCTGTTCTTCTTGAGCCATAATGTTTTGCTTTGTTCATGCCTGTTAGTTATAAGGAGCAGAGCCTTAGGTGTTCACCAGGGTGGGGCTACCCAGGTTGCTGGTTTGTGACACTGTATGTGGGGGCGAGGTCAGAGAGGGACAATAGCGGTCCCCTCTGCTGCTTCCTGCCGCTGGGGTCTGCATGGTCCATCTCAGTCTCACTGCTTGCTCCTTCTCCAGTTATCTGCACACAAATGTGTGACCACAGCCAGCCCTCAGTGGGTTTGCCCGCTACTCCACACCTGGGATCCACCCACTGCCTGCCCGCCTGGGTCACGCTCCAGCCGATCCAGTGGGTCTTTCCTGCCCGACCCCGCTCTGCTGCTGGCTCTGCCCCTCTTACTGGTTTGGCTGAAGGGTTCGTTATTGTCAGACTTCCATATAGTTCAATTTTCTGTGGTTTGGCTATTTTTTTGTTGCTAAAACTTTGTTGTTTTTAAACTTGGTTGTGAGAGAAGGCAGAGTGTTTCCACCTATGCCTCCCTCTTGGCGGAAGTCAAATGACATTATTAATTGTTGCAAAAGTAACATAATTTAAACGTTAGCTTTCTTAAAAATTATGTTTAATAAACATAATTTTTAATTTTTGATTGATAATAAAAATAAACAGATGTTCATTTCAATATAGTTGACTTTTTTTCAGCACTTGACATGATGGGTTGAATCATATATATAGAATTGAATAATAAAATATAAACTACTTTCATTTAATTTTCAAAGCCAAAGTCACAGACAAAAACACTGATGATTAAAAAGATAGCATCTATGAGGCAGCCAACAGCAGCCACTGCATGTGAGTAGACCACCTCCCACCTCAAAACAGAACCATCAAAAGAAAGAAGCCATCTACTCCCTGCAGTTATTTAGCCCTGATCTTGCATACATTATGTCTATCTTCCATGAACTTGATGTCAATGTCGCTCATGAGATTTGCAAGAAAACCCAACAAAAGCAATTAAATTCCTAGGAAAATAGTCTTGTTGGGTAGGGTTCAGCTTTGTAGGGCCACAGACAACCATAATACTTCAGAATTTTCATCACCCCAGAACAGCCTCCTTGTATCCTTGCGGGGATGATGTTACCCCTGTTGTGAATGCATAGTTAAAAGAAAATGTAACAATATATTACGGGGTTTACATGAAGACCATAGCACAAAGACCTGGGATCAGGATAAATGGATGTACACAGGTACTAGTACTATGAAATATGGAGAGCAAGACAAAACAAAACACCCAGCTCTAAAGTGAAGGTAACTGGTACTAAAGAGAAGACCGAAGTGGGAAGAGGTGAAGTAATGGCTTTGGTTTGTCAGTTAAGACTTTCATTTTATTTAATTATGTAAATAAATTAATAAAACATTTTAGCAAAATATTAAAATTAAACTATCAAGAATGTTTATCATATCCTTGCCCTTTAAAAAAAATCTAGTTTATTTAAAGCCTTTTTTTCTAATTACACTCAAAACATTAGTAAGTCTACTAAAGCAAAACAGACATCACAAATGATTTGGGTGACCATGGAAATACAGGAAGACAACAGAAAACAAAGTAAAACAAGCTCCACTAGAGAGCAGCAAGCCTCTCATTCCCCTCTGACCATTTATTTTTTTTATGCATTAACTGGGATACTCACTAAAGTCCCAGAACCTTAGAGTCTCCTTTATTAATACTTTACCTGCATAAAAACAAAGACTGTACAAATGGTAACAGGTACATGAAAAGGTGCTCGATGTAAATAATCATAAGGAAAATGCAAATTGAAACCACAGTGAGATATCATCTCACACCTGTTAGAATGGCCATCATAAAGAGAGAGAGAGAGAACAAGTGTTGACAAGGATATGGAAAAAAAGGGAGCCCTCGAGAAGTGTCAGTGGAAATTTGAATTGGTGCAGTGACTGTGAAAAACATTGTGGAGAGTCCTCAAAAATTAAGAATAGATCTACCATGTGATCCAACAATCTGTCTTCTTGGTATATATCCAAAGGAAATTAAAGTAGAACATTGTAGAGATATCTGCACCCCCCTGTTCATTGCAGCATTATTCACAGTAGCCAAGACATGGAAGCAACCTGTGTCCCTCATCAGATGAATGGGCAAAGATGTGGTATACATATGATGGAATAATAGTCAGCCATGAAAAAGAATGGAAACCTGCCATTTGTAGCAACATGGATGAACCTGAAGGCATTATGCAAGTGAAATAAGCCTGGCAGAGAAAGACAAATACTGTACTATGGTATCACTTACATATGGAATCTAAAAGTAAAAAATAATGAGTCTCACTCTTAGACATAGAGCCAAGGAATAAAGAAAATACAAAGAGGTTGGTAAAAGGGTACAAACTTTCAGCTCTTAGATGAATGAGGCCCCAGGATCTAACATGAAATATGGTAACTACAGCTGATAACATTGTTATATAATTGAAATTTCCTAAAAGAGTAGAACTTACGTGTTCTCACCAAAAAGAGAAAGACATGTATAAGGTGATGGATATGTTCATCGATGAGTTGTTTGAAATTTTTCATGATGCATGCATGTAAAAATAATAATAATGTTACCTATTGTACCTTAATAAAGCTTGCAATGTCTTTTTAAGCTTGAAGACATAATTCTACAGCTCTGTCTCCCTTTATTCTACTTACTGAATTCTTTAATCAAATAAAATTTCAAATGTTTGTTCTCCAACCTTCCCTGATCTCCAAACCTAAATTCCATATTCTTTACAGTTTCTCATAACATCCTATTATTTTTATGGTACTTATCATATTTTATTAAAATACTTTAAAAGTTATTACTTAAAGTAATATGTACCTTAAGTTATTATATACTTTTTGTGTGTGTTCATTTGTTTTATATCACTTTTACCTAATACACTATAAGTACGCTCATTAGAGTAAGGATAACATCTGTTTAACTCATAATTATTTTAAGGGTTTAATCAATTCCTTCATCTATAGTAGGCGCTCTATGAATATTCAAACATGAACCCAGAAAATAGACTTTTAAAATATTTCCAAACTAAGGGTTGGTTGGGAAATAGTTTGAGTTCATTACAAACTCTCTTAAGATAAAATTTGTATAAATGCATAAGAAAAAGTGGCTTTTTATCAAGTCTTAAAAAAGATAAACACAGCTAAATGATCAGCCCCACTTTGGCAAGTGTTTGAAAAACATGTCAAGAAATCAAGAAACTCTTTGTTCGTGTCAACAGAAGTTGTGTTTTTCGTCACTGTAAGACTGTCTCATCATTTATGGAAAATACAACTATTCATCTGAGTTTGGTTATTTTAAATTACGACCTCCCTGAACACTCTTCCGCCTGTTCCAGCTCCTTCATTTTTCTCTCTCCTTCGGCTGCAGACCTGGTGCTGTGCAGGATGGAGAGCGGGAACTGCCGTCTTCCACGGCTGGGTTCTGTATGCTGTACTGCTAATGTGCTCCTTGGGCTTCCCAGCACTTCACTGAAACAACTTCTCCCTTGGAGAACTTGGAAAAACTCGATATTTATTTGTGGGA